CCTGCGAGCCATTAACCCCCGACTCACTCATGAATTATTAATGCCGCTCTCGGCCCACTCCCACGGACGGGAAAGGGCGACGTCTTGATGGTGTGGCTGGGAAAGTGTAGCGATGCTTTCTGAGTGTCTGTGTCTGGGGGAAGTTGAAGTAACAGCTGATTGGTCCACCTGTCAATCACTCTGCTCAAGTTGTTGTTGGTACATGCACGGGAGATGCCAGTGGGATTTTCTTAAGCTGACACCATGTCGGTTTTTTGTATTTTTTCTGTTTGTCTTCTTCTGGGAAACTAGTTTAAAGTAATAGCAGATTGGTGCATCTGTCAATCAAACTGCTCAACTGGTTGCTAATGCTGGGAAAAAGCCAATGGTATTTTCTTAAGCTACTACCATGTCGGTTTTTTGTGTACTGTTTCTTGTTTCTTTTTCTCTTCTGTGGGAAAACTGTTTTGTAGAAGCAACATATATCAAAAAGATGAAGCATAGGCAAAAGAAAACAGCTGGCGTGGGTCATGTAAACATCACTAATAATTTAAACAACAAACAGGCTTCATTCCAACATCAATAAATCATGCTGTGCTCCATTTGACTTATATATACAGGGTAGGTGTACTGTTACCAAACAGGGCCTCCATACCGTTTTTTTTAATATATTTTTTTACAGGAGTACACTTTTACCAGGTGCAGTTTTATCCGCCTCTTTTTATGTATTTTTGTGCAATGGAAATGGATTCTGTGGTCATACTTTTCTTAAACCTGATCAAAAATGGATTTTAATTTGTTATGAGATTAAAGTCAGAATTCTGATACTTCAGATCTTTAGTCATACATTTGTTTTGAAGACTTTTAAAAAGTATATTTTCTGACTTTTCTTTTTAGAATCTTTTTTTAAAAATGTATATATATATATATATATATATATATATATATTTCTGCCGTTCTTTTTTAGTTCAGAGGTTTTTTTTTTTGTTTTTTTGTTTATATTTTGGGGGAATTCAGTTTTATTAAAGAAAATCTGCCATTTTTTAATTCCGATTTATTTGGGAATTCTGACTCATTTTTCGAATTTCAGATTTTTTAATTTTCAGATTTAGTTTTTTAACAACCCTTATGTTGTGTTCGCTCTAGTTTTTTTTTATCTGAACAAGGCTTCATGGTATCCTCCACAACAGGTTTATAAACACTACACAACTGATTTTGACAATTTTAGCCAAGTCTGAAGGTCTCTAAAAAAAAAAGTGTATAATTTGGTGTTGGGGTCTGGGGAGACCCAGCAGAATTGTTGGGGTCACTCGGGGTCAAATTTGGCCCAATCAAGATTCATCTTTGACTTTAGATACCCCAGCCCCTTCATACACTGTAACAATAATGTTTCGCAACATGCACCTGGTCTCCCCTCCCTCTGGCCCACCTCCCCCCACGGGAGCTCGACCTTTGTCAAAGAATATGTACACTAACACTTGAACCTGAACTCACACATGCACGTGTGCAATATGTGGTGTCAATCAATCAATGTTTATTTATATAGCCCAATATCACAAATGTTACATTTGTCTCAGTGGACTTCACAGTTTGTACAGAATATCAGTATGACAATACGACCCCCTCTGTCCTTAGACCCTCACATCGTACAAGGAAACACTTCCAGAGAAAACCCACAGTTTAAAGGGGAACATGGGAGAAACCTCAGGGAGAGCAACAGCGGAGGGATCCCTCTCCCAGGACGGACAGACGTGCAATAGATGCCGTGTGTAAATTGAAAAGATAATACATTTACAACATAGGTAGTCCAAATGTTTGGAAATGCATGTGTCTATAATAAGAAGATGAATCCACGAGGATATCCATCCAGGACTTATAATGTGGTGTAATGTGTTTTGGGCCATAACATTAAATGACTACAGGATTGTACGGTTATGAATGCATTATAAGTTAGTTATGATGTAGTTAAAACAATATTGGATGATAGTCATTTTTTTTGAGTGAGACTGAGATAAATCATGGGTCAAAATTGACCCGCAAACACCATGAACGGTACCAGCTTTCGAACACAACACAAGGGTTAATTCTGACTTTGGGGAATTTTCCCTTTTTTTATAAAGATTTCTTACACTTTTTGGGGAATTTTCCCTTTTTTGGGAATTCTGACTTTCATTTTAGAATCGGCTGTTATTGTCCAAACACCTTTATAACCGCGCGTTGTTCAAATAATGAAAGGCTGATTACAAAAACCTCCATCAGCTGAGATTCAAACTTCATCTGACCTTTAAAAAAAGATTTGTTTTGAAAGTTGTTGCCCCACACTTCATGGTTCAACAGGATGTAGGAAATCATTCAAAACAAACCACTGCACTAGAGGGAGGCCTTCAGTCTTTTATTGGCCGGTTGTAATTATGTGGTCCCAGGATTAATTGGACAAATTGACCCATGGCTGCTTCCAATAATGAATACAAAAAAAATACTTTCTTTCCCACACACTTCTATTTTTAATTGTGTCTTTTGGCATTTGTTTCTCTAATTTCATCTCCATTGCCCCCCCCCCCCCCCCCCTCTCCAACAATTTCCTTAACCTTCAAATACTCATTCAGTGGAGAAATGACGCTGACCTGACGAGCAGATCGGAGGTCTTCCACAGGTGTAACAATACATGCCCTCTAAAAATTCTTATGCATTCAAAATGTATTTGTTCTCGTCTGGTATCAACTTGGTCTGTTCACACACACACACACACACACACACACACACACACACACACACACACACACACACACACACACACACACACACACACACACACACACACACACACACACACACACACACACACACACACACACACACACACACACACACACACACACATCACTTCAGGGGACATTACACTGACTTGCATGCATTTCCTGGAGACTTATCCTAACCCTAACCCTTACCCTTACCCTAAGGGAGGCGAGTCCCCACACGTGACTGTAAACAGATTTAGGTCCCCACAAGTATAGTAATGCTAGGCCGCACACGCACACGCACACGCACACGCACACGCACACACACACTGTCTCTGTGTGCAGCCTGATCCTCAGAGATGCTGCGTATTGAAACAAAGCGTGTGTGATGAATGCAGATCTCATTTGCTCAGTTCTTCAGAAAGCTCTCTTTCTCTGATGTCCCTCACGTCCTCGTCTCCTGATAAATATTGAAAAGTGTTAGATGTGTTCCTGAGACTCTTTGAGTTGTGATTGTCAACTCTGCCTGCTGCTTCTGCTCTTCATGTGGCCTCTGTGTGTGACTGTGTCTTCTTGTAACTGATCATGGGTGCTTTGCCCCTCCATGCATTTAAGAGAAACACATCTGTACAGTTAGTAAATCAAAGGCTTGCACTATACAGTACAATACATTGTTTGGCAAGATTATCTATATGAATGCTCATATATTTGAACTAAAGTCCTTCATGGTGCTGTACAACATCTTGAAAGACAGTGCTGCTGTCCACAGATCAAACTGGCTTCTTAATCTTAAAAATATAATATAATATATATAATATTCTCTCACTGCGAGTAAGACTCAAATAACCCTCCTGAAGGATCGTTGCTGTTCTGAATTTGTATCCTCACGGTTGATTGCGAGAGATGGAGCAGCAGTGATAGCATTTCTTCATTTTAAAGGGGCCCTGTTGTGCTCATTTCTAGGTTATGTGTATTTTGTGTCTCTACTCTGACATGTTTACAATGTTCAAACAGGTCTTTATTTTTCTCATACTGCCTATCCAGCAACCCCAAAAAAGCACAATAGGGCACCTTTAATATATTTAGGAAGCAAATGGCTATTTTCTGCAACTATGACACATACAAGTTGATAAAAATACATGTTTTTTATGTTTTCATACCAATGCAAGTCACTAAAACGCTGCTGACTAGTGTTTAAGGAAACAATTTCAACATGCCACATCACTAATTTGCATCTCCATCTCTCCAAGACTTCCTGTTCTGCACTTCTAGCCTTAAGGGGAGACTGCTCCCCTGAATGGTGGCAGTCACAAGTCCTTGCACACAGTTTCTCACTCTCACGCTTACGCTGTAGCTGTACGTCCTTCAGGCACCCTAAGTGTCATGGCAACCGTGCAGCAGCCTCGGTAACAGCAGCCTCGGCAACTGCAGGCTCATTTTCATACTGATGAGGCTGCCGGTTGCCGGGGGAGGCTGCTGGTTGCCGGGGAGGCTGCCGCTGCTCGCTCGTCTCTCCTCTCCGGTGTCGCCCTGAAATTTTAATGACCTTTTCTTTGCGTCTCATTTTCTCCCCTTTGCTCTCAGCGCCGTGTGGTGTGTGTGTGTGTGTGTGTGTGTGTGTGTGTGTGTGTGTGTGTGTGTGTGTGTGGTGTGTGTGGTGTGTGGTGTGTGTGTGTGTGTGTGTGTGTGTGTGTGTGTGTGTGTGTGTGTGTGTGTGTGTGTGTGTGTGTGTGTGTGTGTGTGTGTGTGGTGTGTGTGTGTGTGTGTGTGTGTGTGTGTGTGTGTGTGTGTGTGTGTGTGTGTGTGTGTGTGTGTGTGTGTGTGTGTGTGTGTGTGTGTGTGTGTGTGTGTGTGTGTGTGTGTGTGTGTGTGTGTGTGGGTGTGTGTGTGTGTGTGTGTGTGTGTGTGTGTGTGTGTGTGTGTGTGTGTGTGTGTGTGTGTGTGTGTGTGTGTGTGTGTGTGTGTGTGTGTGTGTGTGTGTGTGTGTGTTCAAACAGACCAAGTTGATACCAGACGAGAACAAAGACATTTTTAATGCATAATAATTTTTTAAGGGCATGTATCTTTACACCTGTGGAAGATCTCCAATCTGCTCGTCAGGTCAGCGTCATTTCTCCACTGAATGAGTATTTGAAGGTTAAGGAAATTGTTGAAGGGTCAAACAGCAAAAGTCCTGATTCAGGCTCAACTTGTTTTGACTGACACTCAACTTACACTCATAGAGATAACGCTTTCTGACAGACTGTATCTCACTCTCCCTTTGCTCCGTTTGCTCTCTTGCAGGAGGACGAGGCCGGAGAAGAAGAAAACGGTCGGACCGAGCCGATTGGTCGAGCAGACTCCTGCATGGACCACACCCCCGTGAGGTCGCTCGAGTAAGTGCTTCAGTCAGAGGTCATTATAGGTCAGCGTTTTCCCTCTCTGTCCTCACCTTCCTCCTGAAACTCAATAACCTTCTGATCACATTTAAGCATTTATTTTCTCCAACATTTGTTAAAGGGGACAACTCTTTTCTAGTGACTTATCTTTAAGATTCCTAATATAGTTGCACTCGTGTTTCCTTACACCCGTCTGCTTCATATTGGCCAATAGAGAGACACTATTACTGGATTCAGCTTTAAGCCATCTTTCCAACTTTTTAACACATATTTAAGTGTTTGTACGTAAGATATTTGTGCATACGTTTGAACTTTTTTGAATGGAGAAGGATTTGCTATCAAACCCATTTTTCATCACCACACCTGCATAACCCTGACAACCCATAATGCTGTGTTTTTAAATCTCCTCTTTCTCTCTACTTGTGTCAATTTTCTTATTTATTTAAGAAAGTACAACGCACATGAATCACCTTGAGCACTTGAGTTTGTCATCGTGAGGCTTAGTTTATTCTGCAATCCCTGGCAGGTTGGTGGCATTAAGAGACAACACATAAGGGCATCATGTCAGTCACGATAATCAACAGTAGGAACAATGGCCAAAACTAGATTTTCCCTTCAAAGTTGACCAGGTACAGCATCCATCTCCTCTCTGTCTCTACATAATAAGTGCCTATAGCCGTTCTGTATAATAATCCAGGTTTGTTTGTGGAAAATCTCATCTCAACCCCTGCGTCCTGATTTGCATAATTCTCTTTTGTGGACGCAAACTGCTCGTCGTCTCGCCACCAGAGCTCTCCCACGCACTCACCCGCTCAGCTCCTGTTATTAACCACTGTGTTGTGTTTTTTTTATTTTGCTCTGTTGCATGCTTCCAGTTTAATATGCAGGTATGGTATTGTTATTATTCCTATGATTTCCCAGAGACTCTGGCTTCTCCCGCCTCTTAGTTGTCAACAAGGGGCCCATTTTCCCCGAGCTAATCATAGTCATTGTATCAAAGCGGTGGGCAGATTAGATTTGGCATCTTGTCAAATGTTCCTGTGTGTACATGTTTCACAGACGATCAGGTGAAGAACGCTGCATCAGAAAAGCAAATAGCCGTGAATGCTTTTAACGGAGGGTCAACGGATGTCATCTCCACTTTTCATCTGCATATGGATGCAATTAAATGATAAACAGCCTCGGGCTCCGTCAGCTTTCATTGTTAAAGCTGTTTGTTCAACCGTGCACAAAGTAGTTAGCATTACTGAAGCAAGTTTGTTTCATATCTGTTTACCTTTCGCCAAAGCACTGTGCATGGCTACCTAGTGCACTACAGCAAGATGAACCCAACACAAACACATTCTGCTCTGATTGTATTGCCATAAACAGATCAAAAATGTTGCTGATATGAATATAGTATCATGCCAATTTGTAAAAATCCCGAATTCATGATTTGTCAGGTATGTTTGGAAGCGGACAAGCACACGACTTTTAAAAATGCTTGTTTACTAAATGGATCAAGGCTTGTCGAGCATTATAGTCGGCTTCATCAACCCTCACAATCATCTGAATTAGGTATAACATGTCAGACTTATTTCCTTATTTACATAGATATACAAGCATTTAAGATATGTTTTATTGATTACAGGAGCCCACAGAATGATACAACAAGCTTGTCCCTCTATTTCTGATTCCACGTCTGGAACAGATTCTCAACATATTAGCACTTTAGCTTGGCCTTGTGAAAACGTCTCTCCCCATGTGGTTTGCCTTGGCTGAAAGAAGGGCAGTGTCACACATTGTAGACATGAGTTAATGTGTCTATTGTTAGAAGTCAGCAAAGATTTCCCCCTCTACCAATAAGTTCAAATTCAGCATTTTGCAATTCAGTTCATTTGCATCCTTAAAAAAAGCACTCCTCAGTCTCTGCCGGTTCCCTTTGCCATTTGTTTTCAGTCTAATTTCTGAGTGCTCCTTGTTATCCCTCACACGTGTTTGATTGATTTGGATTGCTCTGTTTTACCGTCTCCTCTGATTCTGTCCTGCTTTCCATTTGGATTTATTGACACCCTTCCGTTGTTGTCATTTTTTCTTTCTTCCATCACCAACATCGTCATCTCATTTCCTGTTTTTTGTTTCTCCCCACATGGTGTCACCCCTCTCCTCTGCACTCCCTTCCTCCCCCCCTCCATCCATCCGTCACCGTCTCCCAGAGACATAATCAAACTGGTGGAGGTGTCAAACGACGGCGGGCCCCTGGGGATCCACGTGGTGCCTTTCAGTGGAAAGGACCGGAGGTAAACAATGTATAAACATATCAGAGAGAAGCCTTGGTGCTTTCACACGGGAGAGAAGAAGAGACGGCCGACATTACAGGGGTCATCATTAATGTAATACCCACTGGGCTTGATTGGAGTGTCCACCTAAGGCAGGGGTGTCAAACTCAATTTCATCGCGGGCCACATTAGAATTATGGTTGCACTCAAAGGGCCGGTGGTAACTTTAAGATAAATATACATAGATAAATATACATAATAAATATAAAATAATGTATTTTACAATATTTCCTCTGCATTGGATTATTATCGGATACGGTAATAACTTCATAATTAACTACGTCTGAAAGCAGAAGTCTATGGAAAATAATTGCAAGTCTCTTCATTGCGCATGTCACACAATGAGATGCATTGTGGGACATGTAGTTTATGGGCAACGTTCTCCTGTAAAGCGGCACGTAACATTATAATAAACTTATTATATTCTTTGCAAGCTCTTGTGGGGCCACATACGATGAAGTGGCGGACCGGATTTGGCCCCCGGGCCTTGAGTTTGACACCCCTGACCTAAGGGATGTTAATATTCACAATAACATAAGATTAAGATACAACAAATAATATGCATTACAACAACATGATGTTGAAAGAAGTAAGAGTGTGTGTGTAAATATGTGAGTCCATAAAAGCAGGTTTTATTATAAACTGTCCTTAATATTATAATATTATGTATACATAAATGAGTATATACATTGACAGCTCTGACCTTAAACATGCTGTGTTTAATTAGAGGAATATTAGTTTGACTTATGTTGGATTTTTACTTTTTTCCATCATTAAAGAAATCAAATAATTGTCAGTTTTGCAGCAGAAAGCCCACGTGGTACATCTGACAGCTTTTAAATACAAATAAAAAGAGAGAAAATTGAGCACTTTCTCCCTTTAGGTAAATACTGTTCAGTTTGGTAGACCAACATTTATTTGTTTTGTAAAAAAGGCTTTAAATGCAGCAATTTGGGCTTTTTGAGGTCTACAACATCTCTGGAACACACACACACACACACACACACTCACACACACACACACACACACACACACACACACACACACACACACATACACATACACATACACATACACATACACATACACACACACACACACACACACACACACACACATACACATACACATACACATACACATACACATACACATACACATACACACACACACACATACACATACACATACACACACACATACACACACACACACACGAAACCATGCATGCATACCATACATTCCTATTTAATGCCCATGTGCAATCACTTCATCACTCAAACAAACCCCAATCACGCACGCACGCACATACACATACACATACACACACATACACACACATACACACACACACACACACACACACACACACACACACACACACACACACACACAGGCTTGCATTGCAGACATCATGAAGCCATTTGCTGGTTTACAGTGATCAATCATGCTTGTTTAGGGCTCGCATGTGACTGTCATATTTCTCCGTGGCTGCTGTCACATGAGCTTTTCACAATACAAAGGATACGTTGAGCAGTGCACACACACACACACACACACACACACACACACGCACACACACACACATACACATACACACACATACATACACATACACACACACACACACACACACACACACACACACACACACACACACACACACACACACACACACCTCCAAAACATTCAGAGTTACACATACACAGCTGGATCAAAGCTGTGAAGGAATTAAAGGAATTTAACATCTGGTTTAAATACACCCAGAGTGCAGTTTTTGGAGCTTATGATCCAAATAATCCCGCGCTAGCGCTCCAACACATGGTACGTGGTAGGCTAAGGGGCGGGACATCTCTAAGCGGTTGACCAATCCCAACAGAGCAACCCAGCTAACCAATCAGAGCAGACTGGGCTCTGGTTTCAGACAGAGGGTGAAAAGAGGTGCTGCAGCACAGGCAGTATGAGAGAAATAAAGAGCTTTTTGAACATTAAAGCATGGAGACATGTAGAGACACTACATACTGATATACACCTGAACATCAGCAGGAGAGGACTCTTTAAAGTAGAGACACTACATACTGATATACACCTGAACATCATCAGGAGAGGACTCTTTAAAGTAGAGACACTACATACTGATATACACCTGAACATCAGCAGGAGAGGACTCTTTAAAGTAGAGACACTACATACTGATATACACCTGGACATCAGCAGGAGAGGACTCTTTAAAGTAGAGACACTACATACTGATATACACCTGAACATCAGCAGGAGAGGACTCTTTAAAGTAGAGACACTACATACTGATATACACCTGAACATCAGCAGGAGAGGACTCTTTAAAGTAGAGACACTACATACTGATATACACCTGAACATCAGCAGGAGAGGACTCTTTAAAGTAGAGACACTACATACTGATATACACCTGAACATCAGCAGGAGAGGACTCTTAAAGTAGAGACACTACATACTGATATACACCTGAACATCAGCAGGAGAGGACTCTTTAAAGTAGAGACACTACATACTGATATACACCTGAACATCAGCAGGAGAGGACTCTTTAAAGTAGAGACACTACATACTGATATACACCTGAACATCAGCAGGAGAGGACTCTTTAAAGTAGAGGCACTACATACTGATATACACCTGAACATCAGCAGGAGAGGACTCTTTAAAGTAGAGACACTACATACTGATATACACCTGAACATCAGCAGGAGGGGACTCTTTAAAGTAGAGACACTACATACTGATATACACCTGAACATCAGCAGGAGAGGACTCTTTAAAGTAGAGACACTACATACTGATATACACCTGAACATCAGCAGGAGAGGACTCTTTAAAGTAGAGACACTACATACTGATATTTAGCTGATTATGAGCAAAATATGTCCTTCTCATTATTGAAGGAATAGAACAAGAGTGTAAAAACGGTTTTAAATATGTAAACGGTGTTATATTATTACATTTGTAGCAGTTTTCTGCCATCAGCAGCACAGAGACAACTGCAGCTTCACAAACATCTCAACTTTATTTCAGTATCACTCTGTCCTCCAGACTCTCAAATACAATCAGCGACTCCAAACTCACTGTCGTGCCTTATTGAAAATCAAGATCATACCACTTTCCCCCCACCGCCTGACTTAATCAACCTAAAAGCACATTTATAATGCACTTTTCTTTTATTGGGGAAATGTCAGAGTAGACGTTATCCCAAGATTAAGATGCCCGGCTTTCATCAGAGAAATAGCCTCTGCGCTGCAAATCGCATTGTGTTCTCACTCAAATGCAATCAGTGGAATTGTCTCTGAACTTTGTTAAACTCCTGAACTTTTCTGCCCTCTGCGTAATCGCATTCCCATTCATATTGAATTATAAGCCCCAGGCGAGGGCCAGCATTAAACCCCTAAAATCAACCCAATTTACCTAGGACACACTCGCTCGTACTTCCTCAGAAAACTCACACTATATACCGGGGAAGACTCGATTAGGTTTCTGCCGTCTTCCCTTCCCGCGGTTGATTTTCTCCCTCGCACTCGGATCCATAATCCGTCAAGCGGCCTTTCAGGTGAAGTTAGTCTCTGGCTGTGGAGGCATAAGCCAGTTTTCCACGCTGGATTACAGGCGACAACATTTTCAGCTCAGCACGGTTGAAGTGCTACAGACTGATAGAACATATTCGCTGCCATTCGTTATCACAGCTTAATGGTGCTGCTTACTGAGAGCACTTTGTTTATTTTGCGCTCAGAGTGACGCAGGAGTCCTCGGGGTTAGAGAATTAACACCTGCAAAACATCACAGCTACCGTGGAGTTTTCAGAGCGTTGATTACCTTTTGAATAGAAGCCGCCCCCACACAGCCTCTTCAGCACCCTGAGGTGATGCGACTGCTTTCTCTCATAAGCCTCGTCGGTACTCTGATGATGTAAATGACAGGACCGCACTGTATGCTCAAGTACGTGTTTGAGCAGAGGCTGCAACAAGCCATCCCTCTATTATTTGAGTTCTTTAACCGGAAAAGCATGTCATTAAGATGGCACAGGCTGATTTTGGAGAGCCACCTGACCAGAGGAAGAAGAATATTTGTATCAAAGAACACCACCTATTACATATGCAACAGAACAAAGCATGTCAAAAAACATTACGTCGAAAATACAGCAATTTCATATATGTATGTATGACATGTATTACCCTTTTGGGAATGTTAATATATGATATTAGTTTACACATGCTCAGTACACAGCATGTTTTGTAAGGCAAGCAAAGGGAAGCTTATTTATAAAAGCACATTTCAGTGACAAGGCAAAACACATTAAGAAATAGCGCACAAATAAACCCATTATCAAGTCACATTGTCAACAATCATCAAGATGCCAATACACACAAATAAAAATAAGCTTACATAGAATGATATGGGTATAAAATACAAAGAATAAAGTAACATTGCAGTGTAAGATAAGAAGAATTGTCTGAGTTAGTTTCAGATATACAGAGCACACCAACTGAACGCTGCTTCTCTCGGTTTAGTTGTGACTCCGGGCACAGACAGCAGACTTATGGATGCTTCATAGCAGAACATCATAAATATATGTTGGCCCCTAACCTATTCAGCGCGTTATAAACCAACAGAAGCATTTCAAAGTCAATTTACTGTCAGGAATCCAATGTCAAAAAACCCTCAAACGTTCTTCAAAGAAACGTCCAGTGGTTGTAATTCCACTCCAGACCCTCCTACTCTCCACCAGCTCTGTCCATATTGAACCCAACCGTCTTTCCTCCTGTTGACACAAACTTTTTGAACCTTTCAGGACTCTTGGCTTGTTGGTCAAGCGTCTGGAGAACGGAGGCAAGGCCGAACAGCAGGGCCTCTTCCAGGAGAACGACTGTATCGTCCGTATCAATAACGGAGACCTGCGGAACATCCGCTTCGAACAGTAAGACCCTGCTGAGCGCTGGACTTCCTGTTTGGTCGACCTTCCCTTCCTCCCTGGTCTAATACCTACAGCGCTAAACCCTCTCCTTCTTCCTCCCTCCTCGTGCCTTTGTGACCTTCTCCTCTGTCACCGCGCCGAGCTAAGCTAACCTTTCCCTGTTTAATTCCTGTAGGTCGCACCCTCAATGGCTATAGCAATCCTCTCTGCCTTTCTTCCCTTCGTGTTTCAGTGACAGCTTCTCCACCACTCCTGTTGTAACACCTCTCTCTGTCTGGAATTGGAACACGGCTCCTAATCTTCGCAGCCTCTGCTTTCATTACCTTCCTAACCAAACCCACCTGCTAACCCCCCTTCCCTCTTTTCTATATGCATGCGTATATAATGTGACCTGCTGAACACTATTTCGAAAAAATCCAGTGATGCATACTTGTTTTTGATTTGATTTCCACCTGTCAGCATACATGTATACTAAATATGTGAATGTGTTCAACTGTAGTATACAATGCATTTGTGATATACCCATGAGGCGACCATTATGCAAATAAGTACACACACACACACACACACACACACACACACACACACACACACACACACACACACACACACACACACACACACACACACACACACACACACACACACCTCACTGTGACATGGACAGCTTCATCCATCTGTGTGGTGTGTGTATATGCATGTTAGAAAACTACATAGAAATAATTAAGACTGAAATTAAAGTGGAGAAACGCATTGAGCATTAGAGAACACACACACACACACACACACACACACACACACACACACACACACACAGGTGTAATATGATGTGTGTGTGTCTCATGGGACTTCAGATGCAGTTATTTAAAGGTTTCCTCCATCATAATTATATATCAAAAAAGTAAAGGACAACAAAACAATATTTATTTAAATATATTGATTATTTTTCACGTTCCTGTAAAACAGATTGTTTAGTTTTTAGCGGATTTAAAATGACTTTTCAGATTTGTATTATCCACTCATTTCAGTAGAACGTGAATATGAAGAATGTACGAAATGTGACTATCATCATATCAAATCCCAGTTACATTATAGTGTCTCAACCCTACTGTTTAGCCATAATGAACGTTTTAAATGAGACTATTAAAACAGGGAAAGTGCAAACTAAATAATATTTACACATTAAATAAGAAGTCAATCAAAACAAAGGATATAACCACACATCCAAGATTAAATCATGTGTAGCATCCGGATAAAAGTAAGCCAACATATACAAGTAGCGCGATAGCAGCCAATAATATCATTACTAAATGTTAACATTAAAGTATATACTGTATATCACTAGTGTTATAAGATAAGAGAGATAAGATAAGATACTTTATTGATCCCAATTTGGTAAATGTTTGTGTTACAGCAGCATAAGAAGACAAGGCAATGTACAATACAAATTCAAAGACTAGAAATAATCAAGAAAGTACAAAATATACATGTTGAATTTAACAAGGTATTACATATACAAATATATATATACATAAACATAAATATATGACAGTATATATATACATAAATATATGACAGTGTTGTTACAAGTGAATGAATAAGGCATCTATAGTCAGTGTTGCTACAGGAGCACCGACAGTTGCTTTTTAACAGCAACATCTTCTCGGCTACACGATTCATTCTGAACTCGTAAAGATGCCGCGACGGACCCTCAGGGATCGTTATTAGTGTCTGGGAAAAAATGGGCCCGGAATTTCACAACTAAAGTCTCTCGGGTGAGGGAGGGGGAGGGGGGGGTGGGCGGCGAACATTGTAGTTGTTATTCGGGGAGCAATAGAAATTCTGGGACCCCGGTATTTTCCGTGCAGCTGTTAGAGCCACACTGAAATGTGCTTTATTGAAACAGGTGGCGCTAACGAGGCTCGGCTGCTACTGACAGCCAACATAAGTCTCCATTCACACCTACTGTACATGAGAAAGGCAGGGGGGGGGGGGGGGTTTAAAAGAGGATTTGGTGAAAACTATCCGACAGATAGAGGTCTTCTTCATCTGCAGCCAACTGAGGGGATTATGCATTGGAGCTGAGGGGGGGTTTGGTCTCTTTTTAGAGCCGCTCACGCTGGTAATAAGTATTAATTAACATGTCAGGTGGGCCGAGATGAGTTTTATAAAGCGCTGGAAAAGTTTGTGCGTAGTTAACAATTGATGAGAAAGGTATTTAGGGTTTAAGGAAGTCTAATACAATTTACATTTAAGTAAAAAAACGACTTGAGACACTTTTGTTGTACCAGTAGATTTGTCTATTACAGTATAGAGAGATATTCTATAGATTTTACATTATAGAATATGCAATACTAAAACATATATAGTTACTATTTTGAGATGTATAAAATCAATTCAATCTAATTTATTCCAATCTAATTATCAACTCTCTCTCTTCTTTCCAATTCTCTTCCCATCGCCCCTTTTTGTCCCAGAGCCCGGACAGTTCTGTTTTACCAGTATATTTGTCTATTATTGAGAGAGAATGTGCTAACTTATTCTATACATTTTAGATTATAAAATATGCAGTACAAAAAAAAGATAGTTCTTGATGTTAAGATGTATAAAATATACTTATATGTGGTATGCCCTTTAACGAGCTGCTGTGACGTGTGATCAAATCAAATCAAATCAAAATGTATTATAGCCCCAAATCACAAGAAATGCCTCAAAGGGCTGCACAAAGCAAACGAAAGCAAATACAAAAACAAAATACAAACGTCATAGCATAAACATTATAAAAACATTATACAACAACATAAGTATTGCCATGTGATAAAAGCATGTGACTGAAGTGATGGTAATGTAGACGGAAACTAGGTGATGGAAAGGTGATGAAAAAGAGATGGGTTTTGAGTTTGCTGAGTTTGAGTCAACGGAAATAGCTTTGCGGATCTGCAATGGTAGACGATTCCAAATGAGAGGTGCTCGGAATGAATAAAGTCAATTTAATCTAATGATCAACTCTCTCTTCTTTCCAATTCTCCCCCTTTTTCCTGTCCCAGAGCTCAGAACATGTTTCGCCAGGCGATGCGTTCTCCCGTCATCATGTTCCACGTTATCCCGACATCGATGAAGACGCACTACGAGCAGATGTCCCACGCCGAGAGGAACCCTGCGTACGTGTCGGGACGTTTCAGCCCCGACTCTCTCTCCGGAAGCACCGTGTCCGGAAACGATCACGCCCCACACAGAATGTCCCGACACGGATCTCAAACGCACCCACACTCCCATCAGCATCCTCAACAACATCCTCAAACCCATCCTCAAACCCATCCTCAAACCCATCCTCAAACCCATCCTCAAACCCATCCTCAAACCCATCCTCAAACCCATCTTCAAACCCATCCTCAAACCCATCCTCAACCCCATCCTCAAGCCCATCCTCCAGCAGATCAGACTGAGGGTTTCCCCCCTATGATTCACCCGGTGGGCAACGCAGCCAAGCCTCCCACAGGACACACACCCCTCCCTCAGAGGGGGCTGAACGCCACGCCAACGGGAGGATTCACCAAAAAGGTCGGGAGGAGGCTCAACATCCAGCTAAAGAAAGGTGAGGTGGAGAAAGGTGGAGCAAAGGATTACTTTAGTGCCCAGAGAGGCTGCAATTCTGACTTAAAACACATTTGAAATGTTTTTCTTGTTCGTTCACACAAAGGTTTCATTCATGTTTTTGCCACAAAACACATTTTTTTTAGGCCCATCTGGAATTAAGCATTGCAAGGTTTCCCTGGACAAAAGGCCAATGGGATTTTCTATTGGATTTTGGAATATTGCTAAAAATATAATCTGTGGCAAACACACGTTTATGCTACGTAGAAGTTCTGTTCAGCCGGAACTACATCGCGGTCACATGACTTCACGTCACCACCGCTAAGCTAAAGGTAGCTAATGTTCGGCGTGATGATGTTTAGTAGTCGTAAGTAGACACATGTTAGCAACCGCAGTTTTTAAGACACTTCAAAACTTCAGACATCAGTGGGATGTTTACTGAAATATCTTGTAGAACAATACATTGAAATCAGCTTGTGTTGTAACATATCCTTCAAAAAAACATTGACTTCCAGGCGAGAGAGCCCAAAAGTGCTCAAATGCTGACTCATGTCAATGTTGAAGACCTATTCCTGCACCACTCTTTAGGGCAATCTCCTGCAACAGGCAGCAAATGATTGACAAGTCCATCTTTAGTTTCTCTTCAAACGCAGAATCATTTGAAACTTCCTTTACTGTATCTAAAAAGTTCTTCTTTGTTATTGTGGAAAAAAAACTCCCTACATGATACATTACATCATTTTGTTTTGGAAGTATCATCTGATTCTTTCCTGAGGGTCTGTGAAAATCTCTCTCTCTCTCTCTCACGCTTTGCATTCATCAGGCTTTACACATTAGAGGGATGCTAGTGTTTCTATTCCAACTGAATAAACAAGCAATGTCCCAACTCCCATCCTGGCGAGTAGGAACCGTTTGAGGAGAAAAGGCTCAGACTTGGTTATAAGCAGAGTGTGAGAACGATGATGTAACAGGCTTAAAACACGCAGAGTTTAGCATACTGATGCGTCCAGGAGGTGGAAACTCAGAGAGGAATAAAACTTTGGTGACATCTCCTCCGCAGAGGCTCTGACTGACAGCTGGCACAGGTGGAGCAACCCTCTGCCAACAGGAGAGCAGGTGCCAGGTCTCAGGGCCAGAGAGCTTGTTGCTAAGCAGCCGCTGGAGCCTGTGTGCTGTCAAATGCCGAAGCAAAGAGTCTGACAGGGCTGCACCATATGCCCGTTGAAGTTTTCCCCCCAAATCTGCCCTCTCTTGGGGCTAGCATGAAGCCAGAACATAAAACATGAAAACGCGCAGCTGGTTGATGCATATTCAATCCCAGCTGACGGCTACTTCCACTTGTTCCTCCATCATATACTGTGTCTCAAGTCGCCTACTTTAATGGGCTGTTTTGAGTGCAGTAGTGCACTAGGAGAACACCTGTAACGCTCAAACATTTATTGTGGACCGCTGGACACTTCTCAAGCTCAACAACTGCCATCTTGGCTACGTAGCGGAAGTTGTAGGACTAGCCACGTTAGCAGTTGCTCTGGTAAACACAGCACTTAATAGTTATACATTTTGTTTTCACTATTTGATTAACATACTACTGCAGTGGTCTTCAAAAATAAGCCTTTGTTGATTATTAGGGTTGGATGGGTAGTATGTAACGATTTAGTACCGTGAACGATCCTTGGTTGGTAGCTAGCTTATCGTCAATACTGCTGAGCGCACAGCAGGCGTGTACGTATTTAGACACAGCTACACACATCATTATGTAAGTGTACACTACACTTTACTATAAGGGAAGTCATCTAAAATTGAGCCCCAACTAAGTGCGTTGGTCGCTGAAGAAAGTGGTACTATACTTCTGTTCTAGTCCTTGACATCATTTAGGCCCAACAATTATTTTTCCATTAGGCGCTTTCACGCCAAGTACTTTTCCCAGGAATAGTCCCCGGGACTTTTATTTCCCCGGAACTATCTAGTAAATTGCGTTCACACAGGAATAAGTCCCTGAGGGAGGATTACGCAAATGAAGCCGCTGACGTCACTTCTTCTTCTTCTGCTTTGGGTTTACTGGCAGGCCGCAAACAACTTCACGGCGTATACTGCCACCCGAAGTCCCGGAGCCCCCCGGAGTTCGGGACTTTGGGTGGCAGTAAATCGCCAGAAGCGCCGACACCTCCTCATCACTCCACCGATCCCACGTTTTATTTTGTCATAAGTTAGGGCTAATGCTAATAATGCTAATGCGAGGAAATAAAATGGCGGCTTCACGAAAGAGTTTTACGGGGCGTGGTTTGCAATTCGCCCAGCCAATCAGAAATTGGAACCTTTTTCTCCCCAGGAAAGTCCCTGCTCTCTAGCAGGCACTACAAAGGGGTGAAAAGGTTCCCGAAAAAAAAGATATCTTTGGTGTGAACGCAACATCCCAGGAACTATCGGAACTATTTCTGGGAAAGCAACTAATGACTAAAATTGGTATGGAGTCTGTAAATATGTGTAAACAACTCAGTGCAAATAATGAGTTACTATCCCTTCTGTAAATAAATAGGGTTTAAAAAACTGAATCCAGAGTTAATTTTTGGCTTCATACATTTTACTGAACCATGACCAGAATATCAGAGATGGGGTTTAAGGAAAACTCAAGTGTGCATAGTCTATGGGCCCAAGACCCTGGATGGTCTGAGAACTTTTTGAATCTACAGCTGGTCCACTTTACACTTTATGCGCCACTCAGCAACTGTATCCAGTTCTCTTCATACATCCTAGCTTGAGACTCATCTCTGGTTTTCTCTCCTCACACAGTTGTTGCTTGATCATACATCTCAAGTACTTTAATCTGCCAGGAGATCTGTTATGTTCTCAGTCAAAGATGTTATCGTCTCCCAATCCACCTTTTGTTTGCTGTTGTTGAAGCAGACATTTGCAGCAGGATTACCAGCGACTCCCAAGAGGCTGTTTGGCGACTCAGTGTTGTTTTTGAGTACCGACTTAAGCCCACAGCTTTGAGCGCAGATTAAACTCCCGCCTTGTTTATGAGCTTGAATCAGACACCGGTCTCGTCGCAAAGCCCGTTGAATATTAAAATCAATCAAAGCATCCCATTCCGCACAGGAAATTGCTTCGTAGGTATGTCTTAATCATGCTAATGCGAGTTTGAAATGATCCTCCTCCTTGTTTAAAGCCAGGAACACTGCAGGCATTTACCGGAGACCATTACACCTCGTCTGCCTGCAGGAAGTTGATTGGCTCATCAATGCAGGGGATTAGTTTAGAGGATGTGAAACAGAATCGCTAAGTGTTCTGCTTTTCTTTGCATCAGCTCAGTCACACAGGCAGCGGGGATTAGGGACAGTCCTCTGATACTGCAGGAGCGCTGATTGTTTCTATATTCACTTTGTTAACTTAAAGTGGACCTATCATGCTATATTTGAATAATATAGTGTAGGACCATACCTATATAAGGCATATTTATACTTTTTTTTCTTCAAAATACCAAACAGATCATGCATTTTAGCCATGCCTCATTTTGCTCAATTTGACAATTTCTAGCTCTGTTTTAGCAAGGGCTGATTCAGTGAGAACAGCACCATCTACAGGCCTGGCATATGTACTACAGCGTCTCCAGCGCTTTCGAACGGCAATGGTCGTGGCTGTCTCCTCCTGATTGGTGGAGTTGGCCCAATAGCCGTAGCGCCACCGTCCTGACGTCAGGACAGTGTTCAAATCTGGATCAGTTTTTATCAGATCCGTTGCAGCCCCTTTTTTAGAGATTTGGGTATGGAGGAAAATAGAGAGGGTTGTGTTTTCTGACACTTGGTGAGTTCCCTGGAACACCGGGGACACATATTCATGTTTAAAAGACGTACAAAAGTGCATTTTGCATGATAGGTCCCCTTTAAGAGTGTCTCTGAAAAAACCCTACATGAAGTACCTTGATCAGAGCGCTCAGAGAGCAGGATGTTTCCAGGTGGGATGCTTTTGGAGACGGATGGACTGTAGTGTGTTTTGATTGTTAACTTGTTGAGGAGGCGTGTGGCGCAGTGGACTAGTGCGTTGGTGCTGGGATCAGGGGGGCCCAAGTTCAAACCCCACTGCAGTCAGCATGTCGTTGTGTCCCTGAGACACTTCACCCCAAATTGCTCCTGTGGGGATTGTCCACAGTATTGAGTATGTAAGTCGCTTTGGATAAAAGCGTCTAACAAAATAGCATGTCATGTAATGTCATGTAATGTTGACAGATGCGGAAACGCTGGAATAAAACTATGACTGATCGTGATCTTAGTTTCCCCTCCGTAACCACAGACAGTGTAATTTGTTCTTACTACTTTTTGATTTTTAGCTTCTGGGTTCAATTAAATATCAGACAAAAGTAATACAAGTCTGAACTTATTTACTGGCAGCTTGTGATTGCAAGTACTTGTTGTCGTATAACTTTTTTTTTAAAAGCATTAAATTGCCTTGGCTCACAAAATATCCCACTCCGATTATTCACTATAAATCTACTTGATCTCTCTGCTGACAGGATACAAAGTGTATCTTCATTTCCTGTGTTTCACTTTCTTAATAATAGGAAATTGTTAGGATTAGTGATGACATGACATACAGGCCTGTGTTTCTAGGGCTTCATAATGATAACACCTTGAGGCAAACACTTGCAGATATATAATACTAAATAAAATGGAATTCAAATATGAAGTATGTACAGCTCAATGCTGGTTTAGTGGGGACTACTTGTGGGTGGTGCAGTTTGTTGTAAAATGGATACAGAAATAACTCTAATACTTCCGTTTCCTATTCAGATAAGAGGATGGAAAAACATTTGAAAAAGGTTGTGCAACACATCTCATAGAATAGCTTCTTGCATGTTGTACTCTTTTGCACTCTTTGAAAGTGTAACACTGTCCAGAATGACCAAACAGTCAGTGGTGTACATTCTTGAAGTTCATGATGGAAAGGCACATTGTTGCTGTCCTAAATGCTGGTATCAGCGTTTTATTCTTGAAATGAGTTGCAACTTTTATGATCACTAATTGGATTGTTTCTCCAGGTGTTTTCCTAACATCATGACATGCTACTGATTTATTACTGCGAAACAAACGGATGGTGTAATTGATCAAAGCCACATCCAAACATTCACATTAGTTTGAGCTGCAGGGCGGCAGATGGAGAGGAGACGCTTCAGACTCTGCCTCCAGATAAAACCTGACTCCATCATCAGACCTCCTC